ATGTTGTCCTTGACAGCTTGGTATTTGTTCTTATCCATGTGAATTTGTTATAACCATAATCACAAGACAAGGTTAGTAAGAAATCGAAACTCATATAGGCTGAACTTGTTCAATTTTAATTTCTTGCCACCTGGCAGCTCAAGGGCCTACCATTGCTTCCAAGTTGTTATGAAAACAATTGAGCACTCATAGAACTCACATGCATATTCAACTTTCACTAGAATGGGCACAGAAACAAGAATATGTCAACACGATAGGTTAAAAACCTCAAGTCGTGGGCTAGTGATTTAGCACTAGGTTTAGTCTTGATCAGTTCCTGAAACTTTTCAATATCTTTAAGACTCCCACTGACCTCTTGAAATATAAGATTCTCTTGTCAAGAATCATTCCTTGACAAAAAAATATTCAAGAGTTAGTGCGGTTTCTTATCGAGACAAACACTTCACATAGTTGGTCTTAGTTGGTCTTTGTCTTATCCAAGACATCACAAGTTACTAATTTTAAATGTGCAAGAGTAAGAAACATTTTACTCTACATTTGATAAGTGTTATAAACCCTTGTTAAGATTATGTCACTCAAGGCTTAATCTTGGATTATGACTCTTTGACTTGATTTTGGAACAAAGTATGACTCACCTTAATTGATTGAACCATTTCAACAATTCTCGATGCCTCTTCTTAGCCATACAAGTGCACTAAGGTTTCCTTAGAGAATCGATTGTGATATGGTTTTCATAATCATTAAGATGATCATAAAACACGATACTAAAGTACTTTCCTTTCCTTTCAGATTGGAGAAACTTTTATCTTTCTGCCTAATTTAATTCTTCTTATTCGTTCTACTATACATTGAAACTTTTTCAATGATTCAGAATTATATTTAATCTTGTAAGCATAACCATGTTTACTAACTTGTAGTAAATCATGAAGAATAGTCTTTGTGGTGGACCTTGACCAGTGCACAACAATGTATACTATATCTCCTAGTCCTTCACTTAACTCACATATACATCTAAACAAGGAATTAGTCTTAATTTTCCAAAGACGAAAATCCTCATTCATCACACAATATAAGTCGCATGATTCCAAGTTTCTATCCAATTGAAACTTCGGCGATGAAAATATTTCCTTATTTGGTAAATTATGACACTACCACAAACGAAAGAATCAAATCCATTTTCCAATATTTATAACAATAGAAATATACAAACATCAATTTTCATAAACACCGTTGCAAGGATAAATATAAAAACAAGATAAATAAATTTTTTATTTATTTATAAAATGCAGAAAAACTTTTCCTTACAATACAATTACAAATGAAAACTATGTTCCAAGATATTTCTAAGCAATTTATCATAACTCTTAAGCAGCAACTCAAAAATCTGGTCATCGAAACATGCAATCGAAATCTATTTCTTCGCGATCAAACTCAACATACTCTTCCTTTATGATTCCTTTGATTCTACAAAACATCAAAATGTAATTACATTACATCATGTATTAAGAATCTCCAAATAGGAACTTAATAGAGTTAGATAGTGGACTTACATGAAGCAGAGTCAAACAGTTTGACTTTACCATCCTTGTGGTCCTTAAAGTAGATATAGCAGCTTCGCAACCACTGCACCTTCTCTTGGCAATAGAAGCAAACAAACTCTTACGGAATGGTACATGGTATAATCTCAGACTTAGCCTTTCTCTTTACCATTTGGTTAAATGACTTGAATATGGCCAATCCCTTTCCATTGGGAAGAGAAAGCTTTTCTGGACTTCCTAATGTTTCCATTGTCAGTGTCCATGGAAGTTTGGGAAGTAGATCTTCCAATTAAATTTGCTTTACTAGTGCGCCAAATCATTGTTGATTCAGTAGCAGCAAGAAAATATGTTCCACTACAGAATTATTGGAGGATTATTGGAGATTCTTATTGGAGGAGGTGGACGAAGTGAAGTTCCACTACAGAACGAAGAAGAGATTAATCTTTCACATTGATCGTCTTGTGGAATATCATATTTATAAAGAAAGGATTCAGGAAGACCATACTTGCCAGAATTAGACATCTACAAGGGAGAAATTTAAGTTTAGTTGATTTAAGTCGTTAATATAACACCCAAAAGAAATAATAAGGCTAGGACCCAACACAATATTATACAATTCGGAAGACGGATGTCGTAATACAATGGCAAAATATTTGAAGGTGGGTAAATGAAGATTTACCAATTTCCATCATGAAAAATGAAATTTATTATTAAGTTTTAAATGAATTTAAATTCCTAGATTCTTTTGAGATTCATTGAACTTTTCAATGGAATGTTTAATCTCGATCATGCCCTTCAAGTTTGTGACTGGGATACCGAGGATCACAAACAATGTGTGAATAAACATGCAAATTAGTTTGGTACTCTCGAAGTCATTTATCACCTAATCAATGTGTCGGTTAACCGCACATGCTATTGATCTATGACAAACATCGAGTTACCCTTTGCCACCATTACTAGTCCAAGTTAGTGTCTCAGTTAACCACACACGCTCCACTAACGACTTGGCAAAGTGCCAAGTGCAATTTCATGGGTTAGCATCAAATTCACATTTTTTCTAAAGTGACTAAGATTGTGAATTTATAAGGGTTTAGGTAATTTATAATTCATTATACTTTTAATTCGTGTCCTATCTTACCCGTTCGGCCAACGACCCTCCATCTGTCAAGGAAGTGGCGGGTGAGAGTGGACACCCATTAAACCACCATTTTATAGGCAGTAACCTTCTACCCCCTTATAGATCGGCTTCGTGAATGAGACCTACTAACGGTAAGACTGACCTTTTACTTATACATATATAATATATTAAACTTTTAATTTTATATAGTATAATGGTGTATTTTAAACTTGTAAAATAATTTGTGGTTTAATCTATTAATTAAACTATACTCTTAATTTAATTAAACTTGAAACATGTGATTATGGATTTATTAATTCTCTTTTAGTTAAACACTTTAATCAATTTAATAAAGTCCATAAGGTGCAATTGAACTATTCAAAGCATCAAGGTTCTAAATATAAAAATTAAAAATTAAAAAACTATTTAATTAATTTTTTAAGTTATGAACCTAAGAGTTGCATCTTATGAAACCTTTCAATTACAAGAGTTAATGTTTTCATGAATTTGACTTCTCATATTCCATAACTTAAGGCCAAGTTATGAAACTCTTGAAAACTTTTGGATTCCATAACTTATAGACTTAATTTTGTAACTCCTTAAAAACTTTTGAGTTCAAAAACTTGATGACTAATTTTGTAACTCTTCAAAATTTTAGATCAAATTTAAAACTAATAAAAATAATCATATATTCTTTATCTTTTAAAAGTTTGACCTAATGCAACTCTTATAGCAAGATAGTTTTAAACTAACAATTATCTTAAAAAATTTACAACTATCTTTTAATTGGATGAGGATAGCCATTACCATATAAAAAATAGATTTTATGATACAAAACAATTTAAGGTAATCATACAAATCCAATTCTGGCCAAAAAACCCCAAAAAATGCAATCATGCTATCGAACTCGTCGAGTCAGATTACGGACTCATCGAGTTCACTATGATCTCACCGAGTTCATGAGTGTACTCGCCAATTTGCCCTTGTAGACTGTAGTTTTTCAACTTTTCCAGCTTTGAACAATTCACAAATGCAACTATATAACTGAAAACTACCCATGGCTCTGATACCACTATTGGGTTTTATGTATTACAACAATCCTATGGTGCATATACAACCCTAATGCTTTAGATCTTAGTTTTCTCTAGTTATACATGCAACAAAATTATCCAAATCATGAAGCCCACAACTAGCAAACAATTTGATATTTGAATCATAAATACTAGTTAGAATTACCTCCTTTTGTAGCTTGTTTTATTTTGGCCTTTAAGAACTTAGCACCCCAAGTGTGATGCCTCAAACGGTTCACAACACACCCTGAACAAATAGAGGAACTTGATAGAAATGTTAGGTACACCAAAATCGGCTATAGTATCTCTATAACGTCTGGTCACCCAGGTATATTATTTATTTATTTGTTTTTTAAGACTATTGAGCAACTCGACGAGTTGGTGCTACAACTCGTTGAGTAGAGTCGTGTTTGGCCATGTGGGATTAATGATCTATTCGATGAGTTAGAGAGTTTAATCGTAGAGTAGACGCTGTGAGGTGAAACCCTAAATCCCCAAGTTCGGGGCCTATTTAAGGACACTTATAGCCTCATTTGTGGCTCACCAGTTGCTTACCTTTACTGAGACAAACCCTAATTGCCCTTTGAGCTAATAGAGAGAGTTTTGAGCTAATATTGAGTATTTTTGTGCATCTTTGGAAGAGGAAAAAAAAAAGATTTCAAGCAAGGAACAAGAAGAGGCTGCTAGATCCGTTGCTATTCATCCAATAGCTTCTGTGAAAGGTGAAAAGTTCATACCTTTCTCATTTTTTTGAGTATATCTCATATTATTGGAGTTTAAGGACTTTTCTAAAACATCCCAAAATTCAAGGCCAAAAATTTCATTTTTAATTAGTTTATTACATAAAACCAAAGTGTGAATCATCAAAATATAATCTTATGAAACCATATCAGAGAATAATCCCAAGGATCTCATGTGCGGAAAACATAGTGTGATGCGCTGCGACCAAGCTAGCTCCTTTCCTTTGAAACAAAGTACCTGAAACCAAAACTGTAAATCGTAAGCACGAAGCTTAGTAAGTTCCCCCATCATACCACATACCACATAACACCATCGGCATCTCTCAACCGGTAACTGCCATCGGTATCTTTCAACTGGTAACCGGGGACTATTTCACCCCTACCACTATCACATAATAATATGTCATAAACATATTGATCACGTACTAACATCATAAACATGTTGATCACATACTAACATATCATAAACATATTGATCACATACTAACATATCATAAACATACAGATAAGCATTACATGGGTTCTGTATTGGGGATTATTGGGCACATGTTGATAATGTGAGATTGCGGAGGGGAGAGGAATGTTTATTGTGAATTGGGGTGTTGGGAAGGCCACTATTTAGTTTCTCACTGTATGGTCCAGCAGTGGCATTTGGATAGCCACTGGTGTTTCTCCCACCATTTGGGTTATCGGTGGTGTTTGGGAGAACATCGCTTGTACCCCTACCATCTGGTTTGTCGATGGTGTCTGGAAAACTACCGGTTGTGCGCCTGCCATCTGATTTGGCGGGTGGTGGTGTTTGGAAAACCACCGGTTGTGCGCCTGCCATCTGATTCGGCGGTGGTGGTGTTTGGAAAACCACCAGTTGTATGCCTGACACCTGATTTGGTGGTAGCTGTTGGAAGAAAATCGGTGTGGCATTAGTGTCTTCCACCATTGGTGGCGTCGTACTGCTTGGTCTCACTGCTAGCTGGGGTGCTTGTATCAGAGTGTTTTGCGTTGACATAGTGGCATAAGAAGGTTGTCCTCCGTCGACTGGTTGCTCTTGTCTGGTTGTTGGTGCAATAGTTACCGTTGAACCGCCTTCTTTTGACGCTTCGCCAATAATTACTGTGAGAGTCGGAGTAGTGGTTTGCTCCAACGACATCATAGACCTAATGGGGCTGGTTGGTGTTCCACCTGTCTTTCTTGTATCGTCGGACGTCATTTTTCACCAATGAGTAGTGTGTTTTTGGTTTGTTTTTCGTCACACTTCGAATGGCGCCAAATGAGGTAACCTAGTTCCTCCTCCATAACGTCCTTCGTTCTTAGTAGTTCCGGCGAGCCTGCAAGGCCACATCAAGAAATGGTCGTCAACCGTTCTCCGGGAGGAGCTCCCGGGAAAACGCTCTGACAGTCAAGTCGGTGGATAGACTTGGGGTTGTATTGTGGGTAAAACTAAGAGAGAATCACTTACCTCCTAAGGCACCTAGAGTAGCCTTTTATAGTAGACCCTGCTACTAGTCCGTACGAGACAATGGTGTCAGACCCGACAGGATCGAGTACGCTGATTAGTGGATCGTGCTCCTTAATCTGTCAGAGCCAATGATTGGTTCAGGTGGTATATGCCTTGTCGCTTGACCGTTATATTTGTCTCAGAGTGGAAGGCGCCCCAAGCGGGGCCGAGCCTTTCTCCCCGGTCACCCTGCTCTTAGGGGTGCTGACGGGCGTTGGATTCCGTCGAGCTTAGTGAGTCGGGCGCGTCATGCCTTGGGGCATTCTCTAG